CACAGTGGAATTCAGAATAAAAAGAAGGGATGAAGACAAGAATAATAACAAAAGACCTGAGCAGTAAGCATTGCAAATAGATACATCATTATGAGTTGGATTAAATTTCTGAGGCAAATGTGCATAGTTGTTTCCCTCCACTTAAGGAGGCTGTAAGATCTCACTGGTTTTGTGAAACAGACAATTAAAATAAAGGTGATGTCTAAAGGTAAAGCACAGGCACAGGCTTCCACCTAGGACAAAGTCTGCTTAGGATCTGCAGGCTGTGGGTGGAGAGGCTTTGCTAGCATTGCTTTAAAGAGAGGTCTGTGTATGAGAGAAGCGGAAAGTGACAGGTCAAGGTGAGAAAAAACACCAGGGCCCAGGAAAAATCTGTATTGGACACAGATATGTTTTTTGTCCTAAGAGCCTGACAAATGGCTTTTAGGGCTCTGTACATTCTTCTTCATAAGTAGAATAGTATCTCAGCTTTCCTCACTGTGTGCTTTTACTGCCTGGAATAACCTAACTGAATTTTGTCTGCCTTGGGTTCAATATATTGCATTAAAAAGGGTGTCATTATTTTAGGTACTGATGAAATTTCATTCATTCATGGGTTGAACATGTCACAAATCACCTTCACAGTGGCACATCAGCGAGAGGGAAATGTCATTCTTCATGTTTTACAGGGAGGTCACTAAGATAAAAAGATGGGATAACTGACATTTAAAACAAAAGACAAAAGACTACATGTTAAATAAAAACTCCCAAAAGCCCCGCAAAGCAAAGCAAACAATAGGATGGAGAGGAACAGTTGCTGTGTCTGGTCACGTATGTGGAAGGAGATCTTTTGTGTCAGGTCTTGTGAGGAGGCACAGAGTGAAGATTGGGACCCCATCTCCTCAAAGCTGATGTAAATGGATGTTTCTAGGGTTGCAGCTTGAGCAGGAGAACAGAGGAAAACCATGATCCTCAGACTAACTGGGAATGGAACTTATTATTCATGCCTTTTCTAAAGCTCTAAGAAACTGTCTTTGGGTTTAAATCCCAGCAATGCTTCAACCACCCAACTGATCCTCACATAGATCTGCGCTTAGTGATTTCACTGGCGGTACTGGGCGGCACTGTAACTCATCCCAGCTCTGTGTTGTCACACACAGCTACAGAAGGAAGGCAACAGCACCATATCAGGCTCTTTGTCCTACCTCTACATGCTTCCAGTTGTCCTGTCAGGACTTTGCGAATCTCTGAAATCCAGGTGTTTTTCAGCTCAACAGAAGATGCCTGAGAACACAAGAGGAAAAGGCAAAGCAGATCTGGTTAAAGCACACTGCCAATCACTTGGCTGCCTTGGTTGCTCTCCATTTTCCCAAGGAACTGAATGTTGTGGCCAGCTTTGAACAAAGCAGATGGAGCTCTTCAAGATGGAAAAGTTACCATAACTCCTTGCTTTCCTGTCCAGTGTTCCAACTAATTTTCCACTACTTTGTTTCCTCTTTTACCCAAAATCATGACCGTTTTCACAATGATAAATTGGTAATTTCAGTGCCACCACAACAACGAAGCTTCCAATGGCTATTGTTTCTTGAGTGTACAGGACAGTGAAAGTCACAAAACTGACAACTTTCTTTAAAGCAATTCAATGGAAAGGAAGCATAGGGCCTGGAAAAAGCAGGCTTGTTGTTACCTGGATGATGTAGACCTCTTCTCTGCCATTATACCAGATCTCAAACTTCTTGTTATCCCCTTTTACATTCTCTGTAATGCCCACAGTGCTCATCTGTTTCAAAACAGAAAAGAAGCAGCTGGAATCTGGAAAATGTCAATAGTGTTTCAAATCTTTATCCTCTGAGAAGCGCTTTTAAAAGGCTGCATTCACTTCTGCACCTCGGGGAGTCATTAAAACTGAAATTCAGAACATGTTATTCCTCAACATCTAATTTATCATTTATCTTTCTGATTGTTATAGGGAAATTTTTAAAAAACACATTAAGTGCTCAAAAGTACCACACGATAATGTCTGATTGTGAGTTTATCCCTTTTGCATTTTTTTGCTTGAACTGTGGATCAGTTTTCAACCCTACCCTGGCTCTTGTCCACCTATCTACATTGTCAGTTTCAGGAAATTGGTATTTTCAACTTGCCATCGCTGACCCGTCGATGCGAGACAGTAAGAAGGATGGAACAGGGCTTTGTGAAGTTTAACAACTCATCTGCAAATCTAGACAACACACACACAAAACATATAGTTTCAAGAAAGTTAAAAAAAAAGAGGCGGGCAAAGAGCTAAGGGCCTATCTAGGAAAGACGAACAAGAAACTGAAGAAAATAATTATAGATTTCTCAAATGATAGATTCTTAACTGTGATTTTTGAAGTCCAGCTGCTACTATGCTTACCAGCTTCCCATCTTCTTCCTGTATTACACCCTGTTCATCACCCTTGATTTGAAGATTTAAACAGCTTTATGTCATCATTCCTGCGATCTCCACAGAAAGAAACTTCAAACACTTATATGAATTGGTTCACCCCTTGAACCAGGTCCTGTTAAACTCCTGTCTGGTTACCCTGTCATAAGTTTGCAGTATTACACCTAATGACCCATGTTAATTGTCTGAAGTCATGAGTGTCACACCAGTGTGCTTAAAGGGAAAATATGGCCAGCTGAGAAACTCATCTTAGCAGAAAATGTCCTGCCTCATACCTGGAAATGTCACTCTTGCAGATAAAAGGCCCTTCTACTTCATTATGATTCATCTGTAGATAATGTCACAGAATATATCTGCTCGACTGATGTCAAAAGTAAAACTCGCAATCGAGCTGAACTCATCCCCGTGTTGTGAGAACACCAGACATTTCTCTCCCACACCATTTCCACATTTATTACCTTTAACGAATTTTTAAAGCTGTATGAAGCCGACTTCTCATGGCCATCTGTGTTCTCCTCCCGTTTCTTGCAGAAAAGCAGCATCTTTGTATAGAGGAAGAGGTGTCTCTGCATGGGTTTGAATCTAGCCAAGTCCTTCACCTTGTTGTGCCCCTTCTTGTGGTCAGTCCACACGTTGAAGGAGCCTTGCATCAACAGCTTGCCAAGCTCACTGACATCCCCCTAGCGAAACAGGAAAGGAGAGAGCCTACATCATGTTCAAACTAGGCTAATCCCAGGCACAGTTCTTTCCAGTAGTGGTGGTTAAGCTCCCAGGCAGAGGCGTGTGCCTGTGCATCCCTTGTGTTGGAGACTGGACATGTTACAGCTGGAATCTCCACGTGCCTCCTTGCTAAACCTGTGTGTTTTCTTCATATAACCATCAACCCACTCTTTTCCATGCCCATAATTCCCAGTTTGTCTCCCCCTTCTGTTAGTGTCTAAGGTCTGTCTCAGGATTTCTTTCAGTATGACACACAGGCCGTCCCCTCTGTTGACCTCGGAGGAGGCATCCTCTGACAAGACTCCTGACTCCAAGGCAGTATGAAGGCCCAGTACAGCCCAGATACCCAAGCAAAGGCCTTGGCTCTGCAAGATCTAGGTTCAGTTTCTGCTCGGCTATGAGCTGCTTCTACCCCCGGGCAAAACCCTGAAAGACAGTTAGCTGTCTGAAGACACCGATTGGTGCGTAGAGGTATGGAGGTGCGTAACTCCCTCCCATAGCCTTTCCAATCTTTGTCAATAGTTTCTGGGCTCACCATCTGCAAATTATGCAATGATGCAAAAAAACTATTTTTTCTTTTGTGGCTTTGCCTAAAAATAAAAATATTTTTAAAAACCCCAAACTTACATGTTAGCAATTTCTTAGACAAGAGTTCAGGTCCTCAAGCCTGCATGTGCACAGGTCCAAGCAGCAGAATAGCCTATGCAATTAGGAGCACTTATCAGCTGCCACAAAACCTGCTTTTCTGCTGGCATAATACCCTTCTCTGGAAGCTGTTCTAGGCAAGTATTTCTGTCATGCCTGTGTGGGAAAGACTCCACAAGACGGGGTGCGGTTTCATGAGCTATGGGAGGTGTTTATTTGGCATCACAGCTGAGTACCTGGGACAGGTGGACCGGGAAGAAGAAATGACTGGGTTCATCCTCCTTCACACTTTCACCCCATTTAATAATCACATAACAAACCATCACAGGAATGCTGTCAGCATCAGGCTACGCAGCAGCCATGCTGCACCTTGTCCTGTCTTTCAGCTAACAGAGCGGCAGCAAAGATCTAGTCCTTGGACCTGCTATCTGGCATTTCATGGAAGGCTGGAAAATTCAAAAGCAGAAGCTGAAAAGGAACAGGAATGCTCTGTTGAATTCCTGAGTACAAAACTACTCAGATTTGAAAGTAAGGAATAGGCAAAAGGATGACCTCAACATTTACATGGATAGGAATCTGGATAGATTCCCTCTGCTCAGGAAAATATGTTACTGTCCTTGTGGAAAAGTAACCCCATGCCTTACAGAACAGTTTAATAACAATTTTTTGTAAATCTGCTGTAACTACATACATTTAAACTCGGAAACACAGGGGGAAAGCTACCAGTTGAAACTGGGGAAATAAAATGTAAGCTGTATCCATGAGCTTCCAATACCCATGCTGACTGGTCCAAGCCTGCAATAACAATATCCAGGCTTTAAAGAGCCTTTCTAAAATGAATCTCAGACAATCGGAATTAGCCATAACCAGAATGGTTTCGAGAAGCTTTTCTCCTGACACTTAGAAGGCTGTAAAAGAGTCACTCCAAAACCAAATGGACTCAAACAAACAACAAAAAAACCCATCACACAGGAAAAGTTGTATGTTTCCTGCAAGTACAAATGAAGACTTGGTTGTTTCAAAAGAGAAATGTTGAACAAGACAACAACATTCCAGGTACCACTTTGTGCAGCAGTTGCAGGAAAGCCCAGGAGGAGCCAGCAGGCTGTCACTGCAAACCATGATTCAAAAAGTCACATCAAGCCCAACCACCCTAAGTGCTGGGGACAGTGGCACCGGGACAAAGACACCTGTCCCTAGAAAGCCCATAAAAGAAAGTCTGGAGAAACCTGGAAGCAGCAGAGATGTGACTAGATGTTCATTTATCCCGGTCCAGGAAAAAAATTACACAAAAGTGCTCGAAAAGAAAGCTCGTCTTCTATGACAGAAAAGTGAACACAAACTTTGCCACTGGCTTTAAATAAAGCCAAACAGCTTCCCAAGAGTAGGAAAACTGACTCCTAAGGTGAACCAGGTTTGGTTTTGTTCTCAGGTACAAAGAAATAGTAATAAAACATACCGAATTAAAATTATTTTACCATTCAGCTTTAGAGGTCTCAAGGGTTTAAATACATTTGGGCAAATCCTCATCTGCAGTGAGCCACTTTTAGCTGTTGGCTTATCTCTCTACATTTAAACAAAATGTTTAGCTGATAACACTTTCCTCATCCAATCGCATCAGTATAAAATATCTCATTTTAAAACCAATGTTTTCTTTTGTGTTATCAAAATTAAGATTTCTTCAGTAAAGACTCAAAATCATAGAGCATTTCTGCTCCATCAGAAGGGATATTAGTAAAGAAGTCTCTGAGAACTTTCAATGCCAGAAAGTCTGATGCTGGATTTGACCTTGTATGTTGGAGAAATTAAAAAGTTAATGAACTAGTTCTGCTCAGCCAACAAATCTGAGCATAGTAGGCTTCTCCTACATTGAGAAAATTATAAAACTGAAAATTACATGGAAATCATACCAAAAAGATACTGATAATCTAAACTAAGCCGGAAATCTTCATGCTGTATTATTAACTGAAACGCAAATCTCAGTGCAAAGACATACAGCGCAAGGCACCGCTGGTGCAGCTCGTAGCTGTGCAGAAGGCTGGGGTGACGGGTATGGTTTACCTGCGTTTGTCGGGCTTGGGAGAGCTAAGTTGTGCTTAGGACCTGTGGTGTTTCTCTGATCCACAGGCATGAGAGATAGTCCGCGTGTTTACTCATGTAACAGGGTGCCCACTGCTTCGCATCCAACCCTTACGGCTACTGCCGGATAAGAACTCGCGTTGTCCTTTCAAATCTAACGCACCATCCACAGGAGCATCTCCAGCTGTGTACAGCAGTGGGACTGGGACATACAGCCGAGCAGGCAGTTAAATTCTGTTATAAAATAATGCTGACAGAGGGCATGATTTCCTCAGCTACCAGATGCACAGAGGAGAGAACTACAGAAATTAAAACTCCTGAAGCCACTCCATCCTGCAAATCACGGAATAACTCTTCCCATCCAGACAGAGTCAGTATAGACCCCAGCACTTTCGCGGGAAGTCACATTCTGCACAGAATACTGGCGTCGAGACCAAACCCTGCTACTCTGATCTAACAATTCCTTGAAACTAGCTGCTCAGTATGGTTTTTTCCTTGATGTTTAACCCTGTAACTATTTCAAAATGGTCAACCCCACCACCCCCAGGCCTCTGTTCACCAGGTGTTTTTCCTTTATGCGTCAATCACTCCCACTTCCCACTTGAGGCCTCATTTTATGTAGACAAGACTAGTTCTTGAAAGTCACATGACTTCAATGGAGCTTCAGACGAGAGATAGAGGCATTTGTGGCCTTTGGTTTGTTCTGTGGTTGGTATTTCACACTTCAACGATGAGTTCATTAGTCACTGGGATGGATTCTATTACCCACTTTAAACAGAAGCCAAATTTTCCTTCCTAAGTGTGAAAGATTCACAGATGAGTTGCCCAGCAGTCAGAGAGTTTCAGCAAATTTCTGAAGAAGTTGTGTGCCACACTTGCTACCTCTCACAGACAAATGAGTTCTGGGTGTGATTACACAGGACCGCCACATTTGTCCCACTTCTTCCCCACATTCACACCCCCACCTCCAGAGGAGAGGCATGTTGACATGTCTTTCTGGTCACCACAACATGCCACTCAGTGGCATCCTTCAAAGACGTGGCACAGGCTCCTGCAAGCGTACCAGCCACGGGCACAGCATGATCAGTGATGACAGGATCACTGGATGGGTCAAGGCCAGAGTAACAGCAACAGCAAATAGTACCTCGTAGCCTGTGATTGCTATCTGGTGCATGGAGTCATTGACCGATTTGATGATATCAAGCATCGTGGCCAGGGCTTCTTCCAATTCAGCGGTGCCCTCCGAGTTCTTGCTACACTTCAGCATTTCCTGATTTTAAAACAAAAAAAAGGATATGAAAACTCCCTGAAAAGTTGTTATACCAGAAGCCACCATAAGATAATCCTCCCCGAAATTCACACTGCATAGACAAAGTAGCAGAACTACAGGGCGGGGGCGAGAGCGGGGAAAGAAAAACAAAGAAAATCGAATCAAACAAGCCAAAAAACCCTACACAAAATCCAAGCAAGATATTCACCAGGATTGCCATTGAGGACATACATTTTGACCTTTTGGATATTTTCAAGTTTTATGAGTTCACTTGAGACAGGGCCATTCTGACATATTTACAATGAACTTTTGCATGTCACAGAATTACACCCAGGTTTTTTAAATCCACATCTGCTAGAAAAGTAACTCAATATAATGATTTCAGATGTTAGGGAATTCACCATTTCCCTTTACAATTTGCTCCACAATCTATTTATTACCACTGTTAAAAACAGGAATTAATGTCTAGTCTGAGTTGGGCAGGTTTGACGTTCCTCTCATCAGTTCCTAGCACGCTCTTGTCAGAGACAGAAATTCTGTCTGGGCAGAAGTCACTTCCTGTGGAGATGCTTGTAGACTTACGGTCAAGTCATCTCACAAGTGTCTGCCTTAAATTAAATTACACTTCTGGGTTTTTTTGGGGGTGGGGCAGGAGGAGCAGGGAGGAGAATAGGACAGCTTACTATAAATCTTCCCTATCTCCTCTACCTCTGCACTATCATTTATAGATCTACATTTGTAAATTTGAAAACTTTTTTTGAGAGATGGTATTTCTGAAGAACAATGCTGACCTCTAGCAAAAATCTATTAAACGTTATATTCTGCTTGAAACAGGGGAAGTTATTCCATCTTCCACACCTTGCACAAAGAACAAGAGACAAAGATTTTTGCATATGCCTAAAGCAAAGAAACAAACAAAAACCTTTTCAGGGCTCAATTTCTGTAATAACTTCACATACAGAATTCCTATTCAAAGTGCCAAATATTTAGGGACAACTACTTACATAGCCCAGTACAGCTCCTTGCAAGGATGACCTTTCTTATTTCTATATTTGTCTTTAGCTCGAAAAGTGTTAGTTACAGCTCAGGACTTAATTCTCTTCCTGTAAGCAACAGTTATAACCTATGCAAATCCTGAAAGACACTAAAATCTTAATTTTAAATTAAATCAACTGCCTCACCTCTTGCTCTTCTGCCTATAAAGGAGCCCTGGATCTGATTCAGATGCACAAATTGTTTTTTTTCCCCACTGCATTGTACAGAAAGCAGTTGCTGCCAGTGAGTATTCACCTGAGATCAGAATCTGTCTTTGCTAAAAGCATCTAGAGAAGGAAAGGTTAGCCAATACAAACCCACATATGGTTAGTAGAGTCTTGAGAAGACATGAATCTCAATGCAGCTGGAAGATCCCAAGACTATACCATAGAATTTGAAACCAAAGACAATCAGGATTCCTACCATTAAACAGAAAAGTAAGATAACTGATTACTGTCACGTATAGTGACCTGTGGTTTTGATGCTTGGAATCTGCACCCATAAATCAACCGAAAGAATAAGTTTATTGGTTGTTAATCAGACAATTATTCCAGCGACAGAATTTTATAACTGAATAATCATTTTATTCATCATTATTGACTTGTCCCTGCCCCATATATCTACAGTGGAGCAAAGGAAGTGTTTGGCTGGATGCAATTTTCACTTCAGAAATGCAAGCTGTGAAGAAACAAATTCTTGTAATAGCAGCATCTCACTAGGAACTGTACAGGGAGCTCAGTTTGTTTCCTTACGCTGACTACAATGTCATCAGAAACTATGCTCCAGAAATACACCTAGGAATTAATTACTAACTTAGGTAATCTTTATTATAGTAAGAATCAGACCCCTTCAGCAGGGGTGGCCATTGACATGGTTTTCATTCAGGCATATAATTTTCAACCACATTTTGAAAATCATTTAATCCAAAAGCTGAGGTACTTGTGTTCCTGTAAAACAGGGCTGCAAAAAGATAATTCTCGCGACCTCCAAGCAGCAGCAGTCCCTCCTCAAGTTTTTGGGTGACCAGGACTTAGAAGGTAAATAGGATGCATTCCTATAGTACTTGTTGTGCAATTTGTAGGATGAGGATGGATCCCTGCTCTCTGTGTAGTGGGCACGCTGCTTTATATTAGCTAAACTGATTGAAACCAGAGGGTTGCAATAATTGTGACCCAGAATTTAAAACTACTCTGCTCACCATTCAAGGCACATAGCTTCTTGGGCACTTGTTTGCTACCAATTTTTCTACACTTTCAAATGCTCCTGCTGCCCAGGGAAAAGCGCACCATCTTCACAGACCTCATAGTCCCTGACAAAGTAAATGTGCCAATGTGTTGCTAAGTACAAAACTGGTCTGACCAGCTTCAACCCCAATGACTGCAACCTGTTTTGCCTAAGAATTTTATTCTTTGATCTAATCTTGGTTTTATTTACAGTCATATTTCAAATTAAAAGTAGAACCTTGTTTACTCTTGCTCTTCTGAACACCTTGACATTTTCTCCCTTGTCACAGAATAGTTTCAAGAAACAGAGCCAAGTTTACTTTAGGATTACATTGATATAAGTCTACTGGATCCAATGAAGTTGCATCCTTGTTAATATGTTCATATCCCTGTTCAATATTTGGATTCTATGTTTTGTGTAAAGTCAACAAACAGGTCACAGAAATAGGGCACAAGTAAATAACCAGACAGATCTTCACATGGCTTAGACCAGTACAATCTGACCTGTGCCATGGTAGCTATTAGCAAATAAAATTGCAGCCTAAAATCTTCATTGCAACTTTCACACTAAATTTCATGACAGTACACAACACTACACTAAGTCCAGAGGCTTCAGAACAGCATGTAATTCACCTTCATGTCCTTCACAGAAAGTAATTATTATTTTTAAGAACTGAGGAGAGGAAGACAGAAACATAAGCCACCATCTCCAAAAACGTCATTGGTTTCAGAGCATCTATTTATTTTTGCCCAGTTCAGACCAGAATTTCAAGTATGGACCACCAGTTCCAACCAAATCAAAAGGTACATTCACATATTCATCATCGCAGGGGAAAGTTACAATTTGTTCCTAGCTGGGTCTTTAAAACTGAAGCACCAACAGGGAGTGCTCCTGAAAGGTCTGAGTCACAGCCATGGGAAAACATCAGGTTCAGAGAGCTGAAAGGGTTTTGTTAAACAGGGACAAATGTCAGAGACAACGTTTAAAGCATCAGTTCCTGTTTTCAAACTGTAGGACCACATACTGATCAAATAAAGCCAAATTGAATTTCTGTTTAAAGATAAATAAAACAATAAATAGGACAATAAAATACTTACTACACAAAATAGCTTAATTTATGTATATAGCAGTGTATACATAATAATATAATACTGCTATTGCTTAGTATATAAGCACTGCTAAATAACAGCAGTATTTATTCTGAAACAGAAGTCCTTTCTTTGGCTCTTTGCTACCATTTTACAACTTAGCATTACAAAGTATTTGCTGAAGAAGTGAGAGAGGATTTATTTCCAGGTAGTCCTTCAGAAAATAATGCTGATAGGCAATTCTGTGAGTAAAACAAGCTGTGCATTGGAATTCTTTGCAGTGTTACGGGGAACTTGCCTTTAACAGCAACTGGTACTTGGTGATTCTCTGGACTGGCTTTAAGAGATAAGCATCTAGGGAGAGTTTATGATCCAGTTTACGCTGACACTCCTGTAAGAGACAACAGGGAAAAAAAGTACAGTTCTTTCTTGAAACACAGGCAAGACAAGAAGATCATTATCAGTTGGAAAAGGGGAGATTATATGTCTGTGAATTAACAGAGGGAGAAATTTGTTCCATCTGCAGAGAAGTTTCCAGGTTACTTATGCCACAGTAAAAATATAACTAAACAAGAGCTAATGTTTAGGTTCAGCTTCGTGTCGAAATGTGGCATGCCCTCCTCCTGAGACTGCAATCCTCTGGGGTTGGCAAAGAAGCCAGTACTTCTTCAGTTTGGGCATAGCCTGAAGAGTCACACTCCATTCCAGGAAACCTACCCACTACTCTACCTACCTAGCCTCCTCTAGAGAGCACCTTAACGCGTACTGAGCACCTGCCATCAGTATAGGCAGCGTGCAGAGAAGTCTGAATATTGCTCTAAGTTTTCTAAAGAAAGAAGAGAGACAGAAAGAAAACAAGCTTGGGTTGTCTTGCACTGCTAGTCTGCAGTGAAATTCCACCTGAAAAAAGATGCTGTCTCCGCACTGTCTCCAGAGAGCTTCAGACCTCGGCTTGTTCTGACAGTATTTTTCATATATTTGGAGGTCCTCTTTCTGCAAGAAAAGGAGAGTTTAAGTAAGGCAAGAAAAAAGAATCCACAGAGCACCTGCCTTGAGTCACACTTTTTCTTACCTTCCTACCTAACACATGAAGTAACTAGTACCCAGGGATAATTCTGTATGTAAAAACTAAATGGAAGCCACCATTTTCACTCCTGTAAAGCTAAATACACTTGAAAGTGAGAATTATTTTTCTTTCACTTTTCACACAAAACCAGGCGACTGCAGACTGGAAGCCACATAATCTAATTGCAAAACTGTTATCTTCTGGAGAGAGAAATAGATTATTTGAAAACACAAAAAACCCCATTAGAATTATAAATTTTGTTAACAATACAAGCATAGACTAGTAATTGCTAACAATGCTCACCACTTAGCTGAGGTTCACGTGTTTAACACACTTCAAAAATAGCGTTAACCCTCAACAGTGCAAGGATAAATTAAAAAGTAGCAAGTTTGTCTTCTTGGTGTGGCAGGCCAGGCAGGGGGAAGTACTCTGTCCTATCCAAATTAGGAGTGGGTGGATTCCCTTGGCCTCTATTTACCTTTGACCACACTCCAGGTGCTCTCACTGAAGGCCACAGGGAAAATCTTCAGTGCAAAGAAAGGCAGCCTCTATAAAAGCCCAGAGAGGTATGTCTCAAGCTCCTTAGACTGTAAGGGTGGCTGTAGACAAACTGGGGTCTCTCTGCCAGACTCTTGGCTTACTGACTACGTGTCTGGTTGGCACAGAAACCCTGCAGCCACATGCCCATGGAGCAGTGTCATACACTATTCCTGCGCAGGGCTCGCTGTGGCTGACTGCCTCAGAGTTGCTCAACTTTGCCTGCACCTGTCCTGGTAGACATGACCTCAGTGAATCAAAGACAACACCAAAAATCAAGCTCAGGTATTCCTGGCTCCTGCCTCTGTGCCTTCAGCTCACTATATGCTCTTGGTGCCGGGAAGTCATTTCCTTTTGGATAGAGTGACTAGTAGAAATCAGTATCACTGCTGTCTTCCCCTACAGACCTATACTGGCATCACCCTGATGAATCAGATGTGAAATCAGAGCTATGTGGTCCAACAGCCTACTGCCTTAAGGATTATGCAATGCAAAAAGCCCTGTTGCACCTCAATAGGGCATTAATGGTGCCATTTCAAAATAAGCGCAGTGTTTTCTTCACACAAATAGAACTGTTTGTACATGTTGCCTTGGAGGGGAGTTAGCAGGGGGTAAAACCCACAAAACTGAAAGTAATAAAGTGTAATCGAGCATTACAATTTGCTCCTGGCCCACAGAAACCTATTTGGGCCAGGCAAGAACTCTGACAGCGACAGTCAAGGGCACTATCCAGGTTAAGAGAGAAGTACCACTTTAAAATTAAAGAAATATCAATAATGTGCAATAATCAACAATTTGCCATAGTGGAACTACCCTATGCCCATGCAATCTACTGCTGCCTAAATCAGCAACACCTGCTCAGGCAGATACTTACATCTTTAAAAACAGCTTTAGGTTTTGTAATAGTGCAAGGAATAGGAAATTCCTGATGAAATTAGTAGGATTACACTAGAAATAGTTAATCACCTAATTACTCAGCTCCCAGTCTTTAATGTTCTGCACATCTCTGGTTTCGTATCCAGAGGTTCTGACTTCTTGCTGGCACTTTCACACCGTGCTCCTCTCTCCTGCAATGCTTCTCCTTCCCAAGATGATTTGTGGCCTGAGATCTTCGTGAGCTTTCATACAGAGTGTGTCTCTACAGCATCTGTGCACAGTCCACTCACCCTTGTTGACTGCTGATTTATGAATAAGTTCTGTTTCGGGTTAGAATTTAGCCCTTTGAATTGAATTTACAGGTTTCTGGTCAGCCTCTACAGTCCTTTCACAGATAGCTTCCTTTTCTAAATGCTTCTTTCTCCCTGAATGACCAAATGCCCCAGCTGCTGGCACTTATTAAATTATTCTCTTTTTCCAAGGTTAGTAATATGACTAAGTAAACAGTGGTTACCCACAGTGAGTCACTCTTGCCAGGCACCTCACCTAGCACACATTGGTAAGCAGTCTGACACACCTTTTGTTTTTTCCTGGGCATTCCCCTTGGTTTGGTAAGTTTTCCTTCTTCCCAGCATCATGTTTAGCAGATCAGTCCCACTTGGTACTGATAAAGCACCAGAAGACCCCTCCTGCAAGGCATTCAGCACACATTCCCTCTTTGAGCATATGTGCAGTCCCCACCACACAGGCCTTTAAGCAAGGTCAAGCATCTCAGTGATGATGGTATAATTGCTGCCATGTGGGCAAACTTCAGCTGGCTTAATTGTAATTTAGTTCATGTGGAGATCATGCCCTAATGAGGCCAGGCAGTGGGAAGGACAAGAGGGGCGTTTCTGGCTCATCTTCCACCTGATTCTGCTACTGTGTTGGAGGAGAAAAGCCAGAGAGGAGAAATAGGCTGGGACTCCACAGACTGCTTCTGCCATCACCTGAGAAAAAGGATTCACATCCACGATGAGAGCTGACCAAGCGGCACCGGTTGAGGGGGGAGAGCATATGGAGCCATGGCAAAGGAATTCCTGGCAGGGGATAGAGGGACTTGGGCACCAGGGTGTCCCACTACAGCTCTGAGGACGTTTACAAGCAGCTTTGGAATCAGGGCTGAAAAGTCCTAGTGTGGCCAGGCAGGGTAATAGTCTTCAAGTATGAATCTAAAACTCAGTCTGTTTCTAGTCACAGGCCCACCAGGGTGTTGTGGCAGGGCAGTTATAGCCATAAAAAGAAGGAGAAATGGAGAAGTGAATTTGTGACAATGCCAGTTTCCTCCCAGAACTCAGCATCACCTTGACCAGGAGCCGTTTCAGTTTCTCCCGTGCCAAAGCAAGCACGGTCATAACTCACGGGGCAAGCCAGAAGCCTCGGCTCAGCAGGAAGACGTAAAAAGCTGCCAAAGAGTAGAGAACACAAACACACAACCAGGCTTTTGTTTGTGCCTCCTAAAGGCAGTCCAACAGAAACAACACGTTTCTGGACTTCATGTGGCTTCTTCTAAAAACAGAACATAAGGGCAGGTTCTTGAATCAAAGGTGCTACTGTGTGAGCAGAGACATCTCTGGAGAGAGGCTTGTGCTTTCTTAGCGCGAAATTTGAAACAGGAGGAAAGCAAATGCATGATTTAACCTCTTAGTCAACAGATTTAGTGTTGTTTGACTAGGCCGCAGAAACTGATAAGCAAAGGTGACAGAGGGACTGATTTTCTTCCACTTCACACCCGAATCATAGCTTTAGTGCTGCTGATTTCATACTGGTAAGGAGACTTGGGATCAACAGATGTTTTTACAGAGAGAAATGTGAGCTATAATATTAAAACAAGGAATTTGAACTTTCTGCAGAATTACAGGATCAATTCTGTATCAAGAATTTTTGTTTAGCTCCAAATACAGGGATATTTGCAACATATAGACTATTTTATGCTTCTTGGATTTCAAAGGTCTGCATTCTTCAAAGACTGTTTATCCTACTTTGCATAATGATTTCACCACAATATTTTCCTGCTCAGCATCTGAATCTTAGGATAACAACATCTTCCTCAGTAGTGTCATTTACTCAAGCTCTGGAAGCTGGCTGTTAAACAGAAAATAATTCAGTGGATTTATAATCACCTTTACACTTGTATGATGCTTTTTAGCCTGACCTGTTTGTAAACTGGGGGTATACCCTTTGGAAGTAGCCTGTGTTCATAATTCCCACTGAAAGCTTAGGGATGTGGCAGTGCTCAACACCTCTGACAGCTGGGGTATGCTGTGTGTCATCCAAATCTGCATTTCATACAGCACCTTGTTGAACACAAGAAGATTCAACATGTACCCTGGAAAAGCAGCAAATGCTAACTGTAACGTACAGTGAAAGCAGGAGGTACCTTTGACTACAAAGAAGAGGACAGATTTTCCCATTTCTTATGCAAAAACTAGAGTCTCATTCGAGTTGTTTTGTAAGACTATGAAAATGGTAGTAACCCACCAAACCAGGTTTTGTCTTATTAGTAGAGCCTCTGAACAAGAGCTGTATAAACAAGCACCTTTTGTTATGTTACAGGAAACAACTAACAGTGTTAGCTGGGGGGCAAGGGTTGGGGGAAGTGCCATGACTGGCAGCTCTCAGAGGAGAGAATTGCAGAACTTCGGCACCGAAAGCCACAGGAAGAGAAGATATGCATCTAGCTGACCAAAGCCACCACTGCCTGTTGGCTTTGGGCTTTCTCAGAAACTGAGCTCACTCTACTTTTAAACAAACAGCTAGCCCTCACCACTTCATACGAGCAGGAATAAGAAGCCCACTTGGCTGTTGAATTGTGTGAACAAGTAAAGGAATCAACCTCCCGGATGCTTATGGAGCTGGTGCAAAGAGAGATAAGGCAGGAACCAGAGGTACTGTCTGCACTCGGAGCAATCAGCTGTGATATGTTCTCTGCTTATTTGCAGTAGGGTGGTGTCTGGGGATACACCAGACTGCTGCTATAGACTTATCTGATATGAAAAGCATGGCAAACATTTGGATCACTGATGTTTTTTTAACCAGGGTTTAGAATTCATTGATAAAACACTGGTAACAGATCTATTCCTGTCAATAAACCAGGTAGAGGTTCAGACTACAGAATACACATATGTTAACTGTGGCTTAATTTGAGAATGACTGCTTATGAGAGTTTTCCTCATTCACAAAAACAATCAGAGTGAAAGGGTAGGAGTAAATCTGTAAGCATCATAGGATAAAACCATAGATATTCATACAAACCTGCAAAAGGATTTACTTACTCTTTTCAAAAAGCATCGGGCAAGAAGCTCAGGGTTTTCAATGCAATTTTCTATCTCCTTAAGGAAAATCCTGAGGAGGAGAACAGAAAGCAAACAGTACTATAACATCCCACTCACACTGTGGGCTGGCTTCAGTGTAAATCCAGATTAAAGCTTACATTTTTGTAGGAAGAGGATTCAGTGGGGAAGGTAACAATTCTGACACACAATGAAATATATTATCTATATCTTAGAAAAATGGGAGGTGGTTCACAGCCGATAGTCTGAATCACCAATATTATCATGTTTTCATCTGCTCACAGGCATCTGATACACCTGATTCCTCTGCCTTGTTTCCAATATGTAGCCCAAACTCCTGCTTCCCACTTGGTTACGAGGATTTTTCACAACAGTTAGAAAAGACAGCAAAGCTCTGTCAGATGTAGTTGCTTAATCAGCAAGCCATGAAAATATGGGATGTAGTCCAAAGGCCTCTGCAATGGCAGTCAATGCACTAAGCCTTTGGGGAAAGAAGGACCAGGCTTGCAAAGGGAGGGGAATGTTGTTCTCCAAATGGAAGACACATTCTTTGAAAATAGTACTTAAACTGGAACAGAATTTTCCTACTATGTATCAGCTACACTGGCATCATACGTAAGCTTGCAAAAAACACTGGATTCATTTATTTAATTATTTTGTTCACTGTTCGTTACATCTTATGGGCAATTATTACCCAAAAGAATTCCTAAATTCTCACTTTGGCTACAGCCAGTTTTACTTAATCAAGGCAGGAAAAGCAGGACAGGTACTTACAGAAGTAGTTCTAAGCTTTGTGTTTTTAATTGGGGATCAAAAAGCACTTAATCTTGTTGATAATCAGTATTCTGTAGTTAGGGGCACTAGATCACCTTGTCCCCAGTGCAGACAAGAGTTCTGGAAAGGTTTATGACTGCATGAAGGATAAAATTACTTAAGAAAAGTGCTATCAAATACATCATGTCTTCTGATATGATTACAGGTAGGACATGTGGTAGGACAAATAAGCTGAACACTGAGAAATCTTCCTCACAGTGGAGTTTTGCCAGAGGAAGAGCATCAGGATTTAGTCCTCTGACACCTACCAGTGTACCAAGGGAAGCGGTAAAATACTCACCACGAGGGACATTCAAAGTGGATAATGCCATGGGAAATCACTAGTAAATGCACAAAAGGGTACAATCTTTCACAAAAAAAGATGAAATAGTTTATCTCAGAGGTGTTTGCCATGTATGGGTTTTACAGGACACACACAGAGGCAAAGGGAGGATGACTTTTCCTGTCTGCGTCGGTGTGAGTGTGACACTGCACAGAAAGGGAGTAGAAATGACAGTAACACCCAAGGGCGTAGGACAACCACCAGTTCCCACATGCCTGTTGTGGAATTCATAGATTTCTGGGAGGTTCCCAAAAAGGATTTCCTTCTTGTTCTGGAGTGCAGATGGAATCAGATGCACTAAATTGGGATTGTCCATTTCTGAAGCATACCCCTGCAGAGAAGAGTGCAAAATAAAACCAGGCTGTTTTTACCAGGGAAGAAGTACTGAGACACTGAAAAGCCCCAAAGTCTACGTGCTTTTTGTTCTCAACAGAGCATACAAAGGCTTTTCCTATGCCAGTTTCTTTGTTGCTTCCATGAATTTCTGATGCTTCTGATTTCCCTCAGAGCTTTTACCCCTGATAGCTGTGCAAACACAGGTTTAACCCCAAATGGACAGATTACTAGACTAACAACAAACATGAAATTATGTCCCTATGATTCAAAAGCCATTTTGGTCATGTAGGGATGGAAACTGCTAAGTTTCATAGACACATACCTTTCTGCTACACTGCTTCATTGAAAAACGGTTAGTTTGGATTTATTTGTTGAACTGTGGTATTTGGCTTGATTATTTGTTTTTTTCTTGTAGAAACTGGATTGTGTTTCTTTAATACAAGCTCTGAGAGAACATTCTGCATGCAGATTTTTACAGTCAAGAGTAATATATCAATTTTCAGAGCTGTCAGCTCCCACAGAACAAAACCAATAAAGAAGCAACCACATAGTTGTAAAAAAAAAAACCTACCCAGTCCCTCAAGTCCCACCCAAATATAAACATGATTGAGCCCTCCTCAGCCTGCATCCTCTCACAGGCTAGAGACCTCACACTGCACACACACACACAGTGTGCTGGTATCCTTTGAGTTTCAAAAGCTCAGGAGTTGTATTTGCAGTCCAGGCTGCTCTTAGCTGTGTTGAGACACGACATGGGGCAATAAACAAGAGAGGGGAGAGGTCCTGCCTTTTCCTCAATCATTTTTCAAACCTACATTCACAGAAACTTAGTGTCTGGCCCCATGGAAATCAAGGGTGCTGCTTCTGAAGCCTACTGATACTTTTAAAAGGCACATTATTAACTATTCCTCTGTGCATTACTTTGAGAACCATGCAACTTCATTCGTTCTGTGGGGTGGGATCAGAAAAGGTGCCTCTTCCTTCAAGCCCCGAGGAAAGATGTTCAAAGCATCCTTCTCATTTTTTCACCTCCAAGGCTGAGCTGTCTTGCTAGCAGGAGGCGTGTACTCTAGCCACTGGGTGGGAGGTGAGTGCTCAGCCCATGAAGGTCGTGCACCCCCAGTGAGGACTTAGAGGTTAAGCACCAGAAATCATTACAAAGGAATTTCTTACCTCTATTATACTTTGAAGTTCTTCTACATAAACCCGTTCGGTTTCTATCAGCTCATTGATTATGTGGCTAAAAGAGAAGAAAGGTGGAGAGTTGTAGTGGTTACCAACACTTCAACAAAGCACACCTGAAGCGGTATTCCTTGCATATTCCTGTTTCTGCCTCTGACTACACAAAACCTCCCTGCAAAGGTCGTTTCACCATACTTCAATATTGTGCCTTGTTGACAAGCTTGAAAGTCCTAAACATCCCTTGGACTATATTTTTTTCAGCTCATTTTAAACTTCATCTTGGTGGCTTATGTTATTTTTATACCTACAAATCTGAATAAAATCATTAAAAATGTCCCACAAAGCAAATGAAACAACTTTTCCTCTTCTAATAATAATTAAAAATACTCAAAAAAAGAGGATTATATATCCCAAGGCTGTGTGACATTTCTGTTCTCTTTCACAAAATACACAAAATTGGTGATTTGGCTTCCTTTCTTTAATAGATTGCAAAACCAGGCAACAGGGTAATGTCAGAAATCTGAAAACATGAAAGTAAATTAGAGTAAAATTTTTATGCTATATTTTTGACTTTTCATTTCTAATATTAGTTTAATACTCCTAGGCACCTTGCAGACATGTATCTTGAAGATGCCTAATATATTTCACAAACACATGAAGGTAACCAATTCACTTTTGGACAAATAACTAATTAGATTTTGAAAGAAAATTGCATTTAAACCCTCAACTTCTGTAGGCATCAATTGTCCCATATTCTCAGGAAAACATTCTCTTTAATACTTTAATGAAGAAAGTTTTCAGGGTAGCTCTTCCAGAGGTTTGAGCAGTTTCTCCAAGTAGAAGAGGATTTGTACAGTGTCTTCCTGTACATACAACAGGGTAAGGATGAGATCAATGGTCGCTAGAAAGGAGAAAAATATCTTCTGCTTGGAGAGTCCTCTACCTCAGGAGCTACCTCTCTCTTTACACTTACAATCAGTACCATTAATCCCAGGTTTTCCTCTGAAAGTGTACTCGCCTACTGGCCAGCATAGTGTGTCTCGAGGGCAACCTCCTGAGTAAATGCTACAGGAACCATGGTTTTTGGCAAAAATACAGATTTCTGGTATTTTGGTAAAGAGGCCTCCAAGAGACTGGGGGAGATAGAAATCTGCTCCTCTGCTGCCCAGTGCCAGAAGCTTGAAGCATCTCAAGGCTGCTTGCTAGAGGAAGATGTAAAGACAGGAGAGTGGCTTCTATCACTCCTGCTGGGAAGCTTGCTCTGACTATGTCTGATTGCCTGGTTTTTATAGATCACACAACAGTCATGTAATCAGCCAGAGCCCATTGGCCCTTTATATCATGATCCACATTTGCTCTGTTGCACCCACTGTAAGGGGATTTTGCCATTCTCCGCATTTTTTAGGATGTCCTTTTTGAGATTAATAAGTCTGATAAAGCCTCCTTTAAATGGTATGGCCAGAGACTTGAACGTAAAGTACCTTTCAGGCAGCTTGAAATGCAAAAGCACTGACTGAAACCTTACTAGGTTAGTAAAATAGATTCATTGATTTGCTGCAGATTTACCGTGTTTTTCAAGTCAATATGGTTCTGCAGGCTAGGGGGAGACCCCTTACTCTGGGCTCACAGGCTATTGCTGTTTTATGGACCACCACTTGAGGAACATTATAAAGTCTGAGAAATCTAGCCCTTACCTTCAACTGACCCATAATGTTTCAAATTCTGTTACAAAGTAACTAGGATTTCATAGGTATCTTGCCTTAATGCTGTAAGTAAAGACAAAATTGCAGAGAATCTACCACAAGGTAAGGAAATGGGTCAGGGTGGTACCCTGCACACCCCAGGAGTACTTATGCTCATTAGTTAACCTTCACATTGATCTCAAATTGAGATCTTTATGTAGAGGAAAGCTGCATCTAGCAGTAGGGAAAAAATGGTATTGTCATCCTTCACGACTAAGCAATACTCCTGAATAAACACGGGTGCAAAGGGATCCTGCAGTACTAGCCACGATCTCATAAAGCCAAGCTGTGCTCGACTCTAACCCATGTGAGAGCTCTGTCCATGTTTCCCTGAATTTGTGCATCTTTCAGCTGGAAAATATGTTTGGGGCATGCTCAGAGTACTAGATTAATCCTCATGAGATAGATACATATGCCACTTTAATGCACCTTAATGAGAACTGCACAGTCAATGGCCTAAGGGGACATTTGTCCAAAAAAGAAAAAAGATTTTACAAATATTAGCCCTTGCTTTTACAGGTGACTGAAACAAATAAAACTTCTATGGTTAAAGATGCCTCTATTTAAACCTTCGTTCCACTGCAGTATACGTGCTCCTTCCCCAAAGAAACAGACACACCAAATTCACAATTTCCAAAAATAGAATATCCTGGTCCCAACAATCCCTGACCCACTAGCTTTGCTGGTGCGGAATAGCGACGTGGAACACTGCTCAGGAGCGCAAGGCCAGCTTTCCCTCTGTGGAGGGGGTTTATGACGTGTCCTAGCAGAGGGCTCAGCCCCCACCGACCTGGCAGCATGCTGGATGGCAGGGCCTCTGCTGCTATCATAACTTGGCAGAATTAAGATGTGGCTGTGGCAGGGAGAGTACACACACAGAACTAGTGATGTGATGTTGTCAAACGTTCTTCCAGCAAAGGAAACTTCTTGTTACGGGAAACAGTTAAAATGCATGAACTATCTTGCATTTCTTTGAATGGTCTGGGTTTCTAATGAAACATCATGGCTTTGGTTACACTAAGACCACATTTCTCTCAGGTGTGATTTCACAGCAGTTTCCTTTGGGCAGATTATTCTTGCTTTGGCAATCATGGCATCCTGCAGTCCTGCAGCACGATTAAGATCTCACCCATGGAGCCGGTTTCCACCTGAAATGACTCCTAGCTTTGAGAGGCACTGCAGTGCCAGCTCAGTAAGGATGATAAGAAAGGAGAAAGTAGTAGGAAAACAATTTCTATGTTGTCATTAGTGCTCTCTCTGACCTCTGACAAGTTAGCCATGCCATGCTGAAGTGAAGAAAAGGAGAAAGATTGCATAAAGGATTCTCTCCAACAGGGTGAGAATGAGCTGCCAGGACAGCAAAGCCTCACGAAGAGACTTGGAGAAGGAGGCTGCAACAAGGGGAATAAGTCAGAGGCAAGCTGAGTGGGGAGGGATGATGGCAGAGCACTATCTCAATCGATTTTAGCCAAGGTTTAAGTGAAACCTAGAAACTGAGGTAAACACTTGTGTTAATTATCGCCCTTGTAGTGGTGCGTTTCTGGATCTGTCACTGCCTGTGCTGACATTCAGACCAAATGTAGCTATTTATATTGCTTTGGCCTGTGCAAACAGCAACCAGCAATGTTGTTAACCAAGTATAAACTAATCCTGCGTTGCGTTGCCTCGTTGAAACAAAACTTTGTCAATAGGTGTTTATGTGAGCTGGCTGCTTCTGGTAACTGAGAGCACACTACTAGGAAGGTCCTCGTCGCAGTGACTATAAAGAAGACATGTACCAGCTCATTATATATTAATAACTCTTCTTTCTTAATAACAGAAGAAAAAGAAAACAGAATTGAATGGCTGGCCGGGCTCCCCAGGTGTGTCAGGTCATTATGCAGGTCCCTACCACAGTAATTTTGTATGAGGAGCAGTGTCAGGCAGTTTCTCTGCTATGACATGTGCCACCTTAAAAAACCCTATCCCATATAATGAAGCATTAAGCAGAAATAATATTCAGAGACTAATAATATTTAGAGACCGGAGTCTCCTCTGACTAATCTCAATGGCTTTTTGCTCATACAGTTACTATTTGTGCATCCTGCTCAGACAGCAACATAAAACTAACGGAGGATTTTTGTCTCCATAGCTGTGCTGCTTTTCTAACAAACCCACTGTCTCACTTGCCTTTCAGATCTTGTTTCTATGCCAGGATTTGCTACCACAGGTACCTGTCCTGGTACAGAGTCTTTTAGCAGAAGAGGAATTGGAGCCATCAAATAGAATTAAACCAGTGAGGTCTTCCAGAAAAAACCCAACCCATAAATCATAACTGGTGCTACAAAATCATTACTGGCTGCAGAAAACCTGTCTGCATGACTGATGTGGGGCCAGCAAAAGTGGCACATGTGCATGAACACTCCAGATCTGTCTTACAAAAACACACAGAGCTTGGAAGATAAAAAGTTAGTATTTGCAACAGCTGAAACAGCAGAATACCAGTGTGCAGGAGCAAAATACTCAGTGGAATTTGTTACAATAATAAAAAGGAAAAATACTCATCTTTATAAATACGTCTAATTTAGATAAGCATCTACTTAAATTGAAAATACTGGCTTTTTAAAGACACGAGGCTTCAAAAGCAAGAGAAAGGACTGCACAGAACTGTGTGCAGTGCAATGGACACATGTCCTTAGAATAAGCATCAGCATTGGATAGAGCTGGACATAAGAAAAGTGAGAGTGAAAATGTACTGGCCCACAAAAATAAGCACAGTGGTAAAGCCTCCTCGGCCCAGCAGCCTGGCTAGTCTGAAGTGTAGTCAGATTTCTATTTCTGAGTGTAAATAAAATTTACCAAAATCACGTTGTTTACAATCGTATTGCCTTTGTAGGTAGTCACTGGTGAAAATCTCACTGCCCCAGCGGAAGGAGAATCAGCAGTAAGTAGCACATCCAGTTGCAAATTATACATTGCTACAAGACCTTCTAAAACTGGTCTAATCTTAAAATCTCAGAATGATCTCTGCACTATGAAATCAAAAGAAATGACAGCATGTCAGCTGCTGCGTGGAGGAAACTTCCACTCCACCTACATAATTGCTTTTAAGAGGAATTTTTTTTCATTTCTCACAGTGCTGAAAGTGCCTTTCCCATTTGAAATGTATTCTCAGCTGAGATTGTGCAACAGCCCAAGTGAAATTTAAGTAATAAGTCAGTTGCTGTACTTCACCTCCTAAAGTGGAATAAGAGGTCATTCTGGACATAAGAACATTTGTTTGGAAGGACCTTCATATTTGTTAGTTGACACAGAAAACATTTCTGATTTCTCTGAC